ATATATATATGTGTGTGTCTAATGTACTGTATATAATGTGTGTGCTGTGCTGAGCTAATGAAAAGAGTGACTTGATTCAACACCTATCCAGATGTTAGTTTTGTTAAAATTCTGAGAGTAATAACCTTTTTTTTTTTTAATAACAACAATAAGAGCAATAACCTTTAATGAGCAGAAAACATCTCTAAATGCTGTTTTAGCTAAATTTACCCAAGCCATGACTATTACTGTGCTGAACTGTGGTGTATAACTGGCCACTGAGCAGATTTACAAACCATCACTATTATGTATTTGCCTGTGTTCGTCGGCTGTGTTAGCAAAATATGTCATAAGACACTGGACGGATTTTAATGAATCCCAGAGATCGTTGGGTGTTCACCTTCACTGATTAACTTTTGGAGCAATTCAAGATGGCGGTCACAGTTAATCAACATTCGCCAACTCAAAAGAGCTAACTCAAGTCAGTTTTACAAACACTGAGCTAAAGTTTGATGTGGTAGTAGCTGATAGTTAACCTCAACACACACACTGAGCACATGAGATTGTGCAACACGCGGATCAAAACATCTAAAACTCATGTCTTCTCATCAAAGGAACAACTTTAAGTTTAAGTACTATTTCTCCACCATAAAAAATAATCAAATTAAGAGGACTTTTATGTTTCTGTGTTAAAATAAAACATTAAATAAACAGTGTAGTTTAAAGACTTCAGGGGCTCAGCTGAGTCGCAACAAATATCTGATGTAAAACAATAAGTATACACATTAATATACAACATCTGGAACTTTGTTCTTAGTTAAGTCTTATTTGAGAAATTTAAGGGAAGAATATTTGATGATACTAATAAAAGCTTGTTGTCTTAAAGACGCTCCTTTAATTAAATCATAACTTAATTTATTATACTCCATCTCATTTCACCACTTAACAAAAGTTCTGTCCGAAACACACATCTGTTCAAACGTAACAAGAAAAATGCCTAATGCAGTAGGTTTTCAATGAAACACAAAATGTTTGTTTTGCTGCCCTAATTAATTCAACATCATCATAAATTCAAGAAACAAGAACAAAAGCAGCAAAGAAATGTAAAGTTTGATTTTCTTTTAAAAAGTGCATCAGCAGTGACAGAATATTTTTAAAGCTGGGCCACAAATGGCGTTTCATTACACGGCACTTACTTTTTTAAAAAAAACAAGAAAGAAGTTAGATTTGACTCCAATTAAGTTCTTTTAGTGGTCCAGATTACCAGCTGCCAGCATGGAAACAGCATCAGCAGATAAAAAAAGTCCTCCAGCTTCGACAAAAATCATCAAATCCACGGCCTAAAGCAGCAGAGGCAGCCGAGGACTCACTGTGGCGTGTCCAGCTGAGGCACATTAACCTTCAGTCTGTGAGCAACGTGCACAACAGCCCCAAAGCTTCCTCATTTCAACAACTTCCTTAACATTTTAGTTCTTTTTACTTCCTTTTTGTAAATTCGCATACTGACCACTTTGCCGGCTGAGCACCAGGAAATAAACCGAGTGACTCTTTTACTGAGAAAAACAAAAAAAGAGAAAAGTTAAAACTGAGTTTAGAGAAATGCATTTACAGTCTCTGTTTGAACTCACAGCTTTTTTTTTTTTTTGGTTATTTTTCTTGTCTTTTTTAATTTGACAAAACATTTTGTTTGTATTCGTAAAAGAAAAACGCTGCATTTTATTACAGCAAAAATTAAAATCCTAACGCTGTAGAAGGGTTCAAGTTTATCACTTTAATCAGTGATCCTTCACAATAAGGGTCCATTTATTATGGATTGATAAATGCTTTATAGAACAGTTAACCATGAGTGTACAAACACATTATTAAGCATTACTGGGCATTTATAAACCTGTTAAAAAACAATTATATATATAAAAAAAGACAAAGCTCATTATTTGGCAAGATTAAGTAGTGTACTTTAATTAAATCAGATAAATGTATTTTTTCAGTGAATGGTTATTTTACTTTTTAAATGCTAAAACAAACTTTGTATCTACACATACTCATAGTGCTCACACACTGACCGACAAATGTTGGATAATTAAAATCTAAATGATAAATGAACCCGTAAAAGGTGAGAATGGAAAGTGCCGGGTCACCATTTGACAACAAACAGGTCAGAGTTGTCCTTTTATTTGATGTAACAGCTTATTATTAGTATTAAGTGTTTATAACCCAAGTAATAACAGCGTTACGAAGTACTCAGTAATTTATAAGGTGGTGGTGTGTTTTTATTATTGCTAACACACAGATCAAATATATAAGTTAAGTTATTATGAGTTATATAATAAAATATATGTTAAAATTACCGCTTAAGTTTATTATTTTAATTAGATCAAAGTAAAAAGCGCATGTAAAAATTGCAAGTACGCACAGTAAACTAAAAGTATGATATTTAGCCTTTTTTAAATACTATAAATATATATTTTTACTTCACCAAAGAGCCTTTATAATAAAAAACAAAATACTGACTTTTTTATAATTTTTGAACAAAATATCTGAAAACTTTCATGGAAAAAAAAGGAAAACAATAAACTATAAGAGATGCCTTATGTAAGAATTGAATAAAATAAAATGTAAATGAGCTTTAGTGCCAAACTAACATGTTTCTGTTGATAGAAACAAACATGTTTCTGTTTGAGGACCATCTGGAGTGTCTTGATTTACACTTTTATTGGACTTGTGTAGTTTTGTAGCTTTCGCTCTTCTCTTCACAACATTTAATATAAGTTCACATGAAGTGTTGTAAGAAACCGTCATAACTCGGGGAGTTTTTCGCTCTCAGAAACTGTAAACCTTCCGTCTCGGCTGAACCTTGAGGCTGACCAACGACTGTAGAGAGAGGAACAAGCATCCGAGAGCGACTTCTTCAAAAGACGTGTAACTGTGCGCTGCGAGACCGTTTTCGGCACGGCATGCGAGAAGTTGTGCAATCCTGTGACATTTCTAGTTCACAGAGGCTGAATGCAGGTTTTAGTTTCTCTTCAGGGCGAGGGAACTCGGGTTCATTTGGATACAATGAGGCGAGGAGTGGAAAGAAGTCTGGCTGCTGTAGGTCTTTGTAGTGCTGCCTTATTCATTATGACTGAAGGAAGTGGACTGTTTTCACTTCCTCTGCAGTTCTAAGTAAATCTAAAAATGCCTAAATTTAAATAAATAAGATTTACAATTGATGCATTACATTTACTTTGGTAATAAACTGTCAACACTGCGAAACAACAACTGTGTAAGTGGTTCTCCTGGAGATGTTAGGACCACACAGCTCAGTGTTATCCACTAATGAGGTTCAAAAATCCAGGAGAGATTTTATTGTTCTAGCTTCCTTCCCATAATAATAGCAATAATAAAAAAGAAGAAGAATCTATAAGTCATGCTCCACCTTGTGGTGCAACTCTTGCACAAACTTTTTGCAACTAAAGGGAAATTACTGAATTTTTCACAACTTTCAAAACACCAGACATGATTGTTTGACTTTATAAAGCTCATATCTCTTCTTCTTTTAAA